ACCCTGAGCCGGTGAGATTTGAACCGCTGAACTGCTGATCTAGCAGTAGCCTGCAGTGCTGCATTTAACCACTGCGCCACCTCGGCTCTTAAACTTTACTTGATATATTTAATTTAGTGGAGTATTAGGTTGGTCTACATCAAAGCATGTTCCAGTGAACTCAACTATGCCAACATCTAGTTAAATTGATTTAAAATTGGAAGTCAGAAAGTTGTTCTACAAAGTGTTGAATGTTATCTTACTTACAGGTAATAGCATAAAGGCAGGGGTATTCCAGGCCCTTGTTCAGAGCTGCCATGAACACAAGCTTAATTCTTTTGCAGGCAAAACAGATTTTTCCATCCCTGAACTACTACTGTGCCCAGATTTCAAGTGACTAAAGAAGACTTATAAAGATTATAGAGTATGAAGGACTTTTGACTTGAAAGCAAAAAAAGGTCTTCAGACTGTACTAGGGAGCAAAAGTAGAATTTGCCTGTAATGCCTTAAAGCAGGGGTCCCCCACCCTCGGTCTGTGGCATATCAGCAAGCAGGCCGCGCAAATAAAAGACCCATCCGTGGGGTGCAGACAAAACACGAAACCATGCCCCCACTCCAGTCCACTGAAAAACCACTCTCCATAGAACCGGTTCCTAGTGCCCACAAGGTTGGGGGAGGGGGGAGAAACGACTGCTGTCCTAAAGCAATTCTATCCTGGAAAAAAAAATACTTGGTTTTAAAAGCTGCACATAGAGGCTCTTTGCCTATCCCTGGGTATTCCAAAGTACCTTTTGCCTTCAAATCTAAAGAATAGCAATCCATTTTCAACACTTCACATTTCTTTGCTTATGTTTAATTAAAGCTGAAAAAAATGAAGTGATCTTTTTTAAATTAAGGTGCCTCAATATTTTATTAATCAAATACAATTCACTGGTCATACCTGCTGCAATCAAGTATGCTGCGATAATGTTGTGTTCCTTCTGTGAAAAGGCTGATGGAAGCTCACTATTACTTTCCACGGTCATAATAGGATAATTCCAAAAATGTGGCAGAACGAAGAAAACTGAGAAGAAACGTCAAGTGCTAAACTCTGAAAGAAAGAAGAAGCTTTTGCAATCCTTTTAAGATGAATTGTTATCTTCTAAAATTTCTCACAAATGTCCTGCTCTCTTGAAAGGCTCCCAACAGGATTCTGATTAAAGAAAGCAAAGGGGCTTACATTCCTAGCCTTCGGAAGGGAAAAGCTTGTTAGGTCAAACAAAGAACAATATAGAGCTTTTTTTATTTTCAGTAAGATTTTTGTGTCTTGTGGTAAGAGATTTACTATTTTCAGAAAACCCAGATTTTGAACTTCAGTTCTTTAGGGTTTTATGAACATAATACTTTCAGCACTTTTAATAGCAAGCCATGAAGCAAAATAAGCTCAGTTTCTGTCAAAAATGTGTTATTATTATTTTGGTAAGTTTGCAAGGAACAGATTGCAGATGCACACTGCAAACCAGAAGTCTTATCTTAAACTATTTCTAACACATCTGCTATAAACTGGCTTACATAAATTTGGATTGTGAATCAAACATTTGGACTGTGAATCAAGCCAGTTTACATAGCAGATGTTATTACTGACTTTGCACTTATGCAACATGCTAAACCAGTGAAGGTGAAACTATGACAAGCGTTTCAAGGGTGACATGTCATGCGGGTGACAAAGCAGCATTCATCAATACCCAACAGCACACCCATTTCACATGATTTTTGGAAGTTGTAGACACCATGTGAAAATGCTATGCCAGCGAATGCTGGCTGGGGAATTCTGGGAGTTGAAGTCCGGACATCTTCAAGTTGCCAAGGTTGAGAAACACTGTGCTATGCTCTCAAGAGGTCTCTGGAAGTAACACAAGAACGGGTTTGTGCTTTTGGGCAGTTTTCAAAAGATATAGAGATTATTGAAGAGCATTTTCTAAGAATGAAGGCCTTGGCAAAGCTGTCCATTCCTTTGTTCAAGTTTTTAATTATCTAAAATTGTAGTTGTTCCTATATATATATTGTTTTATTATCTGCAAACTATCCATAATCACCTTATTTGAGCAGGGGGGGGGGAGAGGGAGGGAAGGAAGGAAGGGTTAAGAGCAACCTTGCCAGAGTAGTACACCGCCACCTGCTTTGTTTCCAACAAGCAGGAAATGAAAACTATGTAACTCCTTATCTCCATGACTAAACCAACATTCCATCATAACCTGTAGGGATTGATGGACTTTCTTCTATGACATACATAAGATAAACACTTTCTACCCAATAACATTTCTTTCATTCTTTGTGTTATCCCCATCGTATTGCAGGGTCCTGTGTGTTTGAATTTTGCAGATCTGACAGCCCATTTGGCAGTCGACTTAAACTGGTGGTAGTGGGCTAGGTCAGTATTGGTTTTGGATTGTAACTACTCTTAGCGCGTGCTCAGCAAACCGGTTGTTAAACTGGTAGGATCCCATCCCTGACAACAACCAATAGAATATATGTTCTCGCACAGGAACAGGAAGCTCAAGTTCAAAGCTCTAGAGAAGGTATAAAAACCCTTTACTCTCAACTCTATGTGGTCATCTGCCCAGAACCCATGTGGTTCTGCTTCATCATTAAACCATCTTTCCTACCAGCCTCCACGTTTCCAGTGTCTTTCTCCAGGCTTGGAACTGAACCAGATGGATATTTCTTCCAATAGTGTACCCCCAATTCCAATCCACTATTCTCCCATCATTTCTTGTGTTGAACATTAAGTTGTAGAGAGAGTGCCTGTATTGTCTGTGGAGATTCTCAGTCATCCAGGTGATGCTTTTTCTTGTTTGTTTTTTTCTTAGAAAATGTTTTGCTTATTATCCAAATTTCTTGGAGAAGAAACAAAGAAAAAAAACCCAAGACAGTGCAGTTGCTTTTTTGGAAAAAATACTTGCATTCTTCTAACCAATGATGGGACTAACAACACTTAACCTATGACGTACCATTGCTTTTCTCTTTGCAGCTTCCAATTTCTGAGCCTTTTTCTTTTGTCCTCGCTCCTTTTATTCTTCTGTCTCAAACTGAATACTACAGAAACTCAGTTCAGAAGCATTCTTCTTATAAAATCCATGCCATTTGTTTTTTTGTCCTGTTTCATATCCCTGTATTTTTCTTCTTTTGCAGCAAGGCCAGCATAAAACATTTTTGTGTGTCAATGAACAAGACATGGAAATTGTAAGAGAAAATATTTTAAGCAGCTTTTAGAGGTCTTGGATTTGGGCAAGTCGAAGCTGCAGTCTGACCAATGCACTGTAAAAAGATTAATTGTTTGACATTTTTATTGGGCCAAAAAGATGTTCAGGCTATATTTCAAAACATTCTGCTGAACACCGTGGGAATTATTGACTTAATATATACAACTTTATTTAACTTACTACTCCAATAAATCAATTTGTTAGACTAGCCCTACAATAATTATTATTCATATAGTTAGGGCAGTACAACAGAAAGCTATCAAACTAGGTACAATTAATGCATACACATTTTTAGGGATGTGGTGGCTCAGTGGCTAAGACACTGAGCTCGGCAATTAAAAGGTCTGAAGTTCGAATCCCTAGTGCCGTGTAACAGGGTGAGCTCCCATTACTTGTCCCAGCTTCTGCCAACCTAACAATTCGAAAGCATGTAAAAATGCAAGTAGAAAAACAGGGACCACCTTTGGTGGGAAGGTAACAGGGTTCCGTGCGCCTTCGGCGTTTAGTCATGCTGGCCACAAGACCATGGAAATGTCTTTGGACAGCGCTGGCTCTTCAGCTTTGAAACAGAGATGAGCACCCTAGAGTTGGGAACGACTAGCACGTATGTGCGAGGGGAACCTTTACCTTTTATTTTTCCTCCTTTCCCAGTGAACGATACAGAACTCTTACAAATAATTTATTTTCAAAATTCAGAAAATCTGTAAGTATAAAACGCACATGGGATACCTTATACGCAGAGATCCACTCATATATACAGACAGCACATTATACATTTCCTAATGTTACAGAACAAGGAACATTTCGCATTGCAGAGCATGAATAGAAAAATAAAAGTAGTCTGGAAGATTCTTTCTTCAGGAAACTAGAGTCAATACTTGCAATCTCTCTCAAAAGTATCTTATGTACCTGAAACAAGAAAAGCATCGACTAAGCCTTTCAGAAACCCAGCTGCTGCTTTAATTTATTCATTTAATTAATTAAAAAAACTTGGAGGTATGGTTCAATCAGTTCATAAAAGGTCTCTGAAGAATTTGTTCAGCCAATCAAGTTGTGAATTAATTTTCTGTTTGCCTTAAAGCCTGTTATATAAACTTTTTTTAGATAATCAGACATCACACATACTGATACTTTTTTGTTTTGTCATTTTGACATTTAAACCAGAGAGTTAAATACAAGATACAGTCATCTTCATCTCATATTCAGCATCGAACACATGGAAGTTAAGACCTTTGAGCATTATTCTGTAAAACTTTATTGGCCGCTGCATTAGAAATGCTAAAGTATATTTCAAATCCTAATTAAGATTTTAGAATCCTTGATACTCTCAGAGTTTGATTTGTTTGCCTGAGACATTGCGTTACCCAACTGTTATGGCCGGTCAGCTGCCAGCAGAGCTCGCTGCAGAGACAGAGGCAAAGCCAGGGTCTTCCATCCTCCCCCAGGTGGAGAGGCAGCCATCTTTGGGGGCAGATCTGAGTGAGGGGGAGGAAGAGATGGGGCCCATCCAGGGGTGCGCTTCAAAAATTTCACCAACAGGATCTCTGCCTGATTGCTGGGTGGGCGTGGCCTAGTTGGCCTCCTGCACCAGCAGGTGTGTGTGTTTTAGCCTTCCCCAGACAAGATTTTTCTCAAGCCTCTGGGAGGGCAAAAACTACCTCCCACAGGTTCCAGAGGCCTTCCGGGAGGCCCATTTTTCCCTTTCTTGAGCCTCTGTGCGGGGACTGCACTTACCTCGCATCCAAAACCGGCCATGTGGAGATTCCTTGGAGAGACGGGGTGGCAGGGGAGGGGCCAGCCAGGGGTGGGATTTGAAGGTTCTCCAAATCGGCCATGCTAGGTATGGGTTCTTCTGAACCTGGCCGAACCTGTAGCAGCCCACTCCTGCCCCCCCCCTCATATGCGCATATGCGCAGAGAGGAATAGAGAGGAGAGCAAAGGAAAACACTAAGCCGGCTCTCAGGGACACTAGTTAGCCCCTCCCTGACTGGGAAATAAATAGGATGGGTTAGGGAGTGGCTGGTTGTCTCAGACATTCATTTTTAGGATACAGCAAGCAATTCGGATTTCTAGACCAGAATCATGTCTGTTGGGCCTAATTACATTTGGTTTTTTGTTTATCCACATGAATAGAGGACTGTTCCTACTCTGTTTGAAAAGGAGTTTGTGTTTACTCATGAGTAAACAGCTTATCATTACTTGCCAAGGCTGGGTCAGAACATCCACTACATAACATCATTGATACTCTGATACATTGATCACCAGATAATGTTACCGAGCTGGGTAATGAAAAATCTGCAAGCAAACAAGCAACTCAAAGAGCACAAGGACTCCACAGTTCAATCCTGAGATAAATATATGTTTTCTATTGGAACTCATTAAAATACAATACAATAACAGAATTGGAAGGGACCTTGGAGGTCTTTTAGTCCAACCCCCTGCCTAGGCAGGAAACCCTATACTGTTTCAGACAAACGGCTATCCAACATCTTCTTAAAAACTTCCAGTGTTGGGGCATTCACAACTTCTGGAGGGAAGCTGTTCCACTGATTAATTGTTCTGTCAGGAAATTTCTCCTCCGTTTCTTCTCTCCTTAGTTTACACCCATTGCTTCTTGTTCTGCCCTCAGGTGCTTTTATATGTTTTAATACATTTGGAGTGGATCTATAAATTATTTTAAAATCAACTTCCATAAATCCAAAATATTTTTATTTGACATTTTAAAGTAGACACCTTTGAAAGTTGTTATTTAGTTTCACTGAAGATATAAGGGGATAAATTCTTGATATTAAAAACAGTCCCTTTTAAAAAGTTTAAGAATAACCTTCCACTTAATGTCTCCAAATAATGACATAGATTGCAAGCCAGATATCTAGTTCTTAAAACTGTTGCATATTAAAAGAAACCTATGAACTTTTGGCATGGTAACACTTTACTCTTCAGCTAACTGTATGCTTAAAATGGTTTCCATTTTGTATCATTCAAGTTCATAAGAAGTCTTCTCTTTACATTTCTCTAATGAAGCCATAAATGTCCTGTTTCCAGCAGCTCCACTCAGTATCCTCTTCCTAATATGAAAACAAAACAAGAAAAATTAGATCTTCCATAAGATACAGGTAAAAGGTTCCCCTCTCACATATGTGCTAGTCGTTCTTGACTCTAGGGAGCTGTGCTCATCTCCGTTTCAAAGCCGAAGAGCCAGCGCTGTCCGAAGAGGTCTCCGTGATCATGTGGCTGGCATGACTAAATACCAAAGGTGCTGTTACCTTCCCACCAAAGTGGTCCCTATTTTTCTACTTGCATTTTTACATGCTTTCAAACTGCTAGGTTGGCAGAAGCTGGCACAAGTGACAGGAGCTCACTCCGTTACACGATGCTAGGAATTTGAACTGCCAAACTTCCGACCTTTCTCATCTACAAGCTCAGTGTCTTAGCCACTGAGCCACCTAGATCTTCCATATCTAGTCTCAAAAAGATGTAAAGCTTGGCTGTGGCATTGTCTTTTATCTCACAACTGCTTGGATTAATTTTGATATCCCTTTAGTAAAATTCAACTGTAATTTTTCCAGAGTGACATTTTTTTCCACAAAAGTGGCAGCCAATAGTCCCCTCACTGAATGTCTCCTATACCATCACACCTAGATTATTAAAACAACAGTATATACAAATGAGTAGTTTCCTAACTGCACATCACTGTTAAAGTCCAGCATCACTGGATCTTCTTAAAAGTGCTGGATTGCACCAAAATTCTGGGAATTTCTGATCCCTGGCTTTTTAAATCTTCTATAACCCCATTTCTATACTGTCTTAATGTTCTTTATTATTTATCATAACATTGTTTTGCAGTATATTGGCATGTATTGACACATATTCATTCCCAATTAGCCAGACGAGTTCTTTAAGCATTATGATTGTTCATATAAACCGTACATATATGCCTAAATACCTGTGCAACATGTTCTCATATTTTGCCATTGGTACTGGTGTTCACATTTCCCATTTAGGACACTAAACATCTATGATTGATAAGGAAGCTCTGATGACTTTGCAAGAAGTACTACATTTTCTTCTAAAGTTTGAAGGTCGCCAATTATCTGAGAAGCAGAGACCCTAAACATTGCACAGATAATACAGAATATGCCCACAACAAATAGCAAGATAGGTAATTATACTAAAAACAAATATCATTACGTTATGAATACACTTACCCCTAAATCCTCGGCCACCACCTCTGCCTCGTCCTCCTCTGAAGCCTCCGCCACCTCCACCACCTCCAAAACCTCTACCACCTCCAAAGCCTCGGCCACCTCCAAAACCTCGGCCACCTATAAACAAATAAAAGTAGAGGGGTGTGTGCGTGTGTCAAATGAGACTTTTATAGTATCCAGTGAGTGAGAATAGCACATAGAAAACAGAAGCCTAAATGAAACAGATCCATAAATCCATCCGTTAAACAAGTATGCAGAAAACATTCATAAGAAATTGTAATAAGACCTTCGCTTATAGATAATGAAGCTCATTGTCAGAGATAGCACCAGTCTTTAAAGCATGCAACTGCCTTTTTTTTCTTTATAAAAGAACTAAGCTGTTCCTAGGATGGGCCAGCTTAGCTTCAAGTAAGGCACTCCTTTTCATTTACTATCCTGCCGACTATCCAAATAATGTGACTGGGATGACGAACTGGGATTAACAGACAACTTAACCAGGGATTTGTCTTCCTGTGAAGGAAACCGAAATCAGCGCTCCCCTTCTCACTATGGTATTTTACACAACCGACACCATGGGGTTAATTCCTTTTTGCTATGGCTGCATTTTCAGCATCCTAAAACTATGTAGAGAGGTTAATTTTATGGAGAATGATATTCGGGATGCAGTATTGTATAAGACACTATTTTTTCTCTAATACGTTTACTTGAAAATGGAGGGGCATTTTATACACAGGAGGCCGAGAAGAGAAGGTGTGGTGGTCCATCCCCATCCTCCACCTCTGCCAGACGAGCCTCTACCTTATATGCAGCTCTAGCAGTCCTCTCTATTGTAGTTGTTTCCTGTATCACATTGCCGGCCTAGGTTTCCTCTCTATTGTTCCTGTGATGCATTTCCTGTGCTTGTATTACGCTCTCTCTCTAATAAGAGGGCTTCTGCATAGTGATGACTTGTAGTGTTCTTACTTACTCTACATGAAACATGGGAGCATCCTATACATGGGGTCATCTTATAGACAGAATAATACAGTTAATTCAGACTCATCTGTTCATCCCTGAATAAATTAAGTCCTCCTTCCAAATTACTCCATTCTCCTTCACATGTGAAGTTTTGCGCAAATCCAATGAGCAGTCCTAGCTGCTGTCAGGACCATATTGTTTGCAATCTTCTAAAAACACTTTTTCCATTATTGCATAACTTGTTCGCCTGTAAGAAAGAAGTCTACCTACCTCCGCCTCGCCCTCCTCGCCCTCCTCTTCCTCCCCGCCCACCTCTTGGGGCTCCTTTCTCCCCAGGCGGCCTTGGCAAAAACCTCTGCAGGGGGAGCAATTTTGCTGGGTCGATATAAAACTGAAGGAGGAGATGAGCGTTAGACTTTGCCGAGCTTTTGCTTTTGGCTTAAAGGTTGCTGTTTTCTTGAGCCAATTAAAAATACAGGCAGTCCTCAAGTTACAACCACAACTGAGCCCAAAATGTATGTTGCTAAGTGAAACATTTGTTAAGGGAGTTTGCCTCATTTTACGACTTGTCTTATCTCGGATGTTAAGTGAATCACTGCATTTGTTAAGTTAGTAACATGGTCCTTAAGTGAAATTGGCTTCCTCATTGACTTTGCTTGTCAGGAGGTCCCAAAAGGTGATCACAAGATCCTGGGACGCTACAACTGTCACAAACATGAACCAGTTGCCAAGCATCTGAATTTTGATCACATGAGATGGGGATGCTGCAATGGTCATGTGTGAAAAATGGTCTTAAGTAACTTTTTTCAGTGCTGCTGCAACTTTGAACGGTCACTAAATGTAAGTCAAGGACTACCTGTAATCATGACTTATGGGATAAATTAGCCACATGTAAATCAACCCATACTTCTTTCAAGCACATAAAATATGCTTAATCAAAGACAATAGAATAGAATAGAATAAAATAGAATAGAATAACAGAACAGAACAGAATTCTTTATTGGCCAATTGTGATTGGACACACAAGGAATTTGTCTTTGGAAATTAGAAGACAATACAACACAGTACAATAAACAGGATGCAATCCTGTTTCCCAATCCTGGGAAACTTAAAATCATTTTTGACATCATACCTTTTTGCAAAATTGGTAACTTTTCCTTTTAGAAGGGGATTTTATTTCGTTTAATTTAAAAAATATTACTGCAAAAAAAGGGGCTGCAATTATTACCCAAATGAAAATAAAAACTGAGATTACTGTTCAGAAGTACTGCAGAGATAACCCTCAGACGTTACCCTCAGGGAATCCAAGAATGACAAAGAGAATCAAAACAAGCACCAAAGGGCACCACTGAGCATGAGAGAATGCTAATGTTTAGTAGTCATAATAGCCATTAATGTAGTCAGTTACTTTTTCCCTGTGTGTCTCTGGATGTGACTGTGTCTGTGTGTGCCTTTGAATCAGTGTTGACTCCTAGCACCTACCTAAACCAGTCTCTGCAGTTTTCTTGGCAAAATTTTGCAAGTGGTTTGCCATTGCCTCCTTCCTAGGTCCGAGAGAATGACTGGCTCAGTTTCTTTGTGCCTAGGATGAGACAGTCTCTGGCATTCTACTCCTAGTTCAATGCCATAGATATTGCCCTAGTGAATCAGCAGTTAATAAACCACTATTATTTTTTATTATTTGTTAAATTTATTTGCCACCTATCTCACCATGGTGGCTTACAAAAATAAAAAAGAACAAAATGAAATGAACAAAAATAAAAATAAGATGACAGAACAATAAAATACACAATGACAAAGAAACACCACAAGAATAATACATCAATGTGATAACACTAACAAGAAGGATGTAAGTTTCATACACGTTTTTAGAATTTAGACAGATGTTTATGAATATTTAACGGGCAGTAAGATAAAGGGAACATAAAGCAGGACTTACCTTTTGTAGTTTTTTGAAAGATGAAGCTTTCATATTTTCTGAGAGCTTAACTGAAAAGTACTTTCAAAGTGGCTTAAGGAAAACTCTTATCAAGATTTGTCACACATGTCTTTTTATCAATTTAAAAGTAAATCCTCAAATTTTATGATGATCCAATAGATAGAAATCTACAAAAGACTTTCTTAACCCATTCATGACAAGTCACTTACAGAACACGAAATAGGAGAAGAGGAGGTGAAAGAGGGCACAAATGAGGTACAGGAAGATAACGTGGAAGAAAAATTGAAAATAAAATGCAGATAGAAGATTTCACTGGAATTTACAGTCACAAAGAAAAAGCAGGCAAAGGGGGAGATCCCCAAAAAAGAAACCACCATACAGCAAGGAAGGGAGAGGAACAGGGAAAACCCTGGGAAAAGTTACTAGAATAAAAGTAAATACTCTGAAGAAAAGATACAATAACCACAAAAATAGGAAAAATAAAAAGAAGAAGTTTAGGAAAAAGGGGGAGAAGAAGAAAAAGAATTAAAAGGGAAATTTTTGAGAGCCCAAAAGAAAATGGTTAAAAGAGAAAGAAAGGGGAAAGGAGTTACATTAGTAGACAAAAGAGAATAGCAGTAAGATTGTTATTGTTATGTAATTAATTAAGAAATAAAGACATTATAGTATATTGTTAAGTGTAGAAAAATTGAAAGAAATGCTCTCTATGTTTAAATTGAATTAGAAGATATAAGTTGTTTATAGTAAAACATATAAATGGAGAAAATAAGAAATGAAAATTTGGTGTAACTTTGAAGGGGCGTTGAAGATATTTGTTATGTATTAAGCAAAATAAGTATAAAGATGAAAAGAATAGAAAAGAATAATTTGGTTGAAAGTGAAAACAAAACTATGATGTAAAATGGATTATGTAAATGAGAGTGGTGTTCCTGTAATATGTATAATTTGAATTAAAAAATTAAAAAATCTTGAATTAAAAAAAAGTCACCTCCTTGGAGTGATCATTAAAATAAATATTATGAAACACAGGAGCAACAAACTAACAGCCAACATGATACCAACATGATACATTCTAAATATATTGAAGATGCATTTTTAAAATCTCCCAACTATCACAGACATTAGAGTTCAATAACATAGGGAGATAAAAATAGGCTGGAATTACAGCACTCCCTACGTTTTTGTATTAAAAAGAAAGTACAATAGCACAAGCTTAGGGAAGAAGTCCTCCATTTCTCATGTCCCTCAAGGAAACACAAGGAGATCCCCAAAGCAAGGTAGAGAGCCTAACTTTCTTTAAGAAGTTCATTAGCCTGTAAGTAATTTCTTATAATATAAAATGATCAGATGAGGCTAAGCTTTTGCATTAGATTCCAAGTGCAGGACAGACTTCCAAAAATTAAATGCATTCAAAAAGGTTTTATTTACGTTAAAAATAAAAACCATGCTCTATGTCTCTCTCTCTTTCACACACAAATACATACACACAAAACTAGCAATAAAATTGAACATGACTAAAGGATTCAATTACACTGCTAAATAGTTAAATTCTTAAGAAAATATTGCAGTTTGTGATATCAAATTTGCAAGATAAAGGTAGAAAAAAAAATAAACTTAGACTCTAAACAGCCAGCAAAATAGTAACTATATATCAATTTACATACTAACTGAAAAGATCTGTCAATATTAAATACTAAGTGGAAAACTCAACATATATTCCCTTAGCTAATGCAAAAGTTCCATCCAACACCTTGGCTGACCTGGAGCAGGTATCTGAGATAAATCCAAATCACAAGTTGGATAGGAGGCAACTAGGAATTCTAATTTCATTGTTATCCAGAAATATAACTAACTATATCTATAAAGTCTTCAGAAATTGAGATCAACCTGAAGAAGACTTTATCTTTATTTTTTTTTACTAATCTAGAAGTTTGGTCAAACCAAAATGTCCAAATGTAAAACAGCTAATCTTCTCTTAAAAGACAGAATATGGTATTGGTATTGGTATTTTATTATATGGTGGTACATACAGCTGAAACTGAACTTTTTATCTTTTCTTGTATATAAACAAATTAACTATTTAGATGCATTCAAAAGTACACAAAGGATACAAAGTCTCTAAGTTGCCCAAATATTTCATCCACTTTCCCAATCTGTTCTTTATTTTCTAAATAAACTGGTGCATTGAAATAAGGCACTCTGTTTTCTTCAGTGACACATTTACAAACAATATCATCTTCACAAGGATGCATAAACTGTCCAAGAACTGCAAAGAAGGATTAAGAAATCAAGTTAGCTATATTCTCTTGTTTCTTCCAATTTTTCTAGTATTCAATATACTTACTAACTACACTTTCTGGAGGTCCTTGGTCATAACCGCCTCTATTAAAGCCACCACGTCCTCCTCCACGTCCAAATCCACCTCTTCCACCACCTCTTCCTCCTCTGTTGAAACCACCGCCACCACGGCTGAATCCACCACGATTATTTCCACCTCTCCCTCGAAATGACATGTCTTCTTTCTGTTCAATATGCATAACAAGTGTAAAAGATCAACTGAACTTCCAGTTATATGTATTAACCAGTATTATCAATTGTGTAATACTCCTTAGGCAGCTAGTAGATAATATAGTCATTTCAAAGCAAGAAATAATTTAGCTATAAGTAATAGTTCAGGTTCACAGCAATTATAGAAAATATGCACTTTTTACGCCCCTATAAAATCCTCCCTATGCTGACCATTTTAGGATAGAATAGGATAAGACATCAGGTGACACCAATGTATTTTCAATGAATTAGCATATCTAATATATTGGTATTAAATAGCATTTTTGTCAGGCCTGTTAAAGTCACAGGGTTAAAAGCAAAATTTTCAGGGTAGTCAAAATCCTTTTTTCCTTTTGCCAGACTTCATCAGTAGAACATAACTCATGTTAAACTAAAAGATAATCTTAATATGTAAAAGTAAGACATCATATCTTGCTTCTATTTCTGATCAATGACCATAATAAATGTTTTGATTTTGTTTCTAACATCTGGAGAGAATTATCTGTTGCAAGAAAAAGTGGTACACCTGTTCCACCTCTCATTACCCATAAACCTTTTCAAAATATCTTCTTTCTTATTAATTAGACTCTTGTACACCTAAAAGTTATTAAAAAGGGTTTTGTAATATTGTTTCAATATGCAAATAAAAAGCACAAGATACAATATTGTTGGTAATATATTTATCCATTTTTTAAAATCCTCTTTTTACAAGTCAGCAAGAACTAATATAAAAAATGCCCACTCACCTCTTTTAGTGGTCTGAAATGCTATTTCAAATGACTGCAGTGAGACTTGTCTCTTCTAGTGTGTTGGAATACTGCAGTTCTGGTCACCACGATACAAAAAAGATGTTGAGACTCTGGAAAGAGTGCAGAGAAGCACAACAGAAATGATTAGGAGGCTAGAGGCTAAAACATACGATAAATGGTTGCAGGAACTGGGCATGCCTAATGAAGAGATGGACAGGTAGGTGAGATGATGGCAGTCTTCCAATATTTTAAGGCTGTCACAAAGAGTGGGACAACCGATTATCCAAAGCACCTGAGGGCAAAACAAGAAGTAATGGGTGTAAACTTATCAGAGAGCCAACTTAATCTTAAGGAGAAATTTCCTGACATTGAGAATCAGTGAACGCCTTGACTTCAAAAGTTAAGGGTGCTCCAACACTGGAGATTTTTAAGAAGAGAATGGACAGCTATTCATCCGGAAAGGTAGAGTTTCCTGCTGGGACAAGGGGTTGGACTGCCAACGTTATTTTTGTACTCTAACCAACGGAAAATGTGTAGAAGGAACAGGTGAGATAATGCCGTGTGTGAGAGAGAGGGGGGGGGAGGGGAGGAGAGATAATAGAACAACTATTTCCTGAACCTCGTAGCCTTATTCTGTGCGACCTTTCTTAACCATTTTTTTTCAAAACGCCAATGAAGCTCAATAAATACGCAGCCTTGGATCAAATCTAATTCGGGACTAAAATTCTCTAAGTCACTCGTGAGGAACTCCCACTTTGGAAGTCAAAACGCAAAAACACATTATTTTTTTTAAAAGTACAACTCTGCCTATAGGATCGATGCTCTTTTCATTCAATAATTTACTCTCCTAAAAGTGACGTTACATTCTCAACAAAACAGTCACACACAGCAATCTTACGCGTGTGTATGTATCACAGTCAAACACACACATACACACTTTGATCTACGAAGGCACCAAGGAGACTTCGGGAGATGGCAAGGCAGAAGCAGTCCCCGTTCCCAGGCAGACCTTCCCACACCCACCCCCAAAACCCGTGACGGCTCCCACCTACCCGAAACTTGTCCCCTTTCCCACGTGGCCGCCTCTCTTTCTCAAAAGCGACGCCACGGCTCACCTTTGATGATCTCAACAAACTGCGCCAGCTACTTTGACCAATCCCAGCCCTTCTGCAAAAAAAGACACCGCCCACCAATGATCATGTTTCCGCTTCACTATAATTATGTTTTCCAGTGTGTCGTGCAAGTAATTTGCAGCCAGCTGCAAGGCATGGTTCACGCTGGAGCAAATGCACAGCCCCAACTACTACCCCGCTAATATCTCTCATGGGTACCGGTAGTTGAATCTACCGTTACGGTGGTGGTTCGGTTGAATCCCTTCTCTTACACCTATGGAGGTTCTCGGTCATCCAGGACATGGTTGTCCCAAAGGTGCTTTTTTTCAAGAGGCACCTGGACTTTCTGCTTTTTCTTTTAAAGACTTCACGTTTCTTCTGAAGAGCTGAAGAAGCTTCTTGGATGAGAAGCGAAACGTCTTCCAAGAAAAATCAGAAAGTCCAGTGGCCTCTTGGAAAAAAACAAAAACACCTTTGGGACTCCTCTCACACCTTTCTATAATGATAGTCAAAGAAGGCTCATTTTTCTTCTGTCTTACATGTTGAAGGTGGATCTGAGAAATGCTAATTTCCTCCGCATAATAAATTGAAATTTTCCAAGTAGTTGAAGATACATAAATGACTTGATTTCTGGTTTATGTGAATAAACTACTTCATTCTTCATCGGTTAGCCTTTTCTCGTGCCTGAATTTGGTTGTAACTCATTGATATTTTAGGTTTAACTGTACAATTTATTCTTATGTTGTTAGTTTACTCTAGGATAGACAATAGTTTCAGAATTCATTGGTAATCACAATTTTATGGGTTTTTAAAATGTCAAATCTAATTATAAGTATTCATTTTAAATCCTAATCTTAATATAGTGCAGTGCTGTGTTGTGTATACCTAAATATGTTACACTTGAACAGCTCGATCTGATTACATGTTGCGGTCTTATCCTTTCTCCTTTTTAAAACAAATATTTGGCACTAACATAGTGAGCATTCAATCCCACTTTTTGATATCACTATCATTCTGGTACAAATTTTTTATTTATTTCTTACAGCATGTGATCAGTTCTGTATAAACACTTTCACTCTATATATTTTCTTAAATCCTTATCTATCACCTGGCCTGCCCAAGATCCATTCTTGTTTATACAAATAATGGTCTATTCATATTCAGCACCTCTTTTATCACCCTGGTATCTTTTGCTAATTACTTTAGTCTTATCTTAATACATCAAATTTATCATGTTTTTTATTGCTTTGCGAGGCAAATGCTTGAACAGACTCCTGCTTAAATATCTGTTGTAAAGAAGCAGATGCTAACCCCCAAATGTTGCTCACAAATCTTCCTATAAAATGAATGGGCATATGAAGATTACTTTATACTAGAAGTCAAAATTTGCAATAAACATCAACCTTTTGCTTAGAATACAACACAAAATCTATTGTATGCAACTGCCTCATAAAATCCTACTTGTTCAGAATCATAATCTAGAAGCCCATATTTAAAGAGAATTAAATAAAGGACTTCATAATGATTTTTTAAAAAGATTTTTTTTAAAAGAAGACTAATTGTAGACTAATGTCTACAGCCTACACACACACAGAGAGAGAGAGAGAGAGAGAGAGAGAGACAAACTAGTATTTCCCTGAAAGCTCTGGTTTCATGCCTAAATTCAGTTTAAACAGAAAAGGAGAACTGGGTTTTGCCAGCTGGCACATTCTCCTGATTAAATATAGCATCTTGTAGTTTGTTTTTTAACCTGGAAGCCAGAATGGATCCATCTGTAAATTTCCTTAACTTGCCCCTTATTAAAACTGTATGGACAGCATCACTTTCTGCTCTGTGTATCAAGGTTGAATAGGACTGGACTATTGGGCAAGCTCAAGTAAGGCCAACATATTTTTGATCTAGTCTAGTGCAGCAGTCCCCAATCTTTCCAGCTTGACAGCCTGGCCTGACATTGGAGGTGACGACGACATGTGAATAGCAGGTGCATGCACATAAGCCCTCTGCTTGCTTATGTAAGTGGAGGTTCGTGTGCAAGTGCAAGCACCCTGCACTTATGTGAGTAGAGATTTGTGCTTGAGTGTAAGAATCCTCCACTCGTGCAAGGAGTTTCACACTTTAGCACAAGTCCTCTCTGCTCAAACACCCTCCACTCACAAGAGCTTGCCCATGAGCCAAGGTGGCGCAGTGGTTAAATGCAGCACTGCA